TCTACTTTGGTGAATGCACCCCCCCCCCCACAACCACGTCTGGGGTGTGCAGACTGGGGACCCAAAAATCCCAGATGTCCTGCCCACCTTGCTGCCTCCGACACCCCTACTAGCTGGACATCCTACCTGCCACCCTACCCTCCAGTCTGTAATGTCTCTCCTGCCTGCCGTGCTGCCGGTGATCTGGCATTTACACCTGGATTTAAAAAACTGGAGTGTATAGATTGGGACTTAGTCAATTTGACTTCCTCTGCCAGCTCATGGAGGATGGGTTCCCCCTTTGAATCTGGTTCCTCTCAAGGTTTCTTCCTGTTAGGGAGCTTTCCTTTCTCTGTCGCCCCTGGCCTACTCTCCGGGGACGTTGGGCAAGCGAATTGAATTGAGTTGAATCGAATTGAATGAAATTCAATTGAATTGAGAGGCAGAAGCTGGCGTGATGTGTACAGATATTATGGGTTTTACAGTAGAATATTTGTTCACTCAAATCTTTGAAATAATTCATAATATGTCCAGCTTAGTCTTATTTTGCTAGATGTGGCACATGCCATATATTATGCTAGATGTGGCTAGATGTGGCTAGATGTGGCACATGCCATATATTATGCTAGATGTGGCTAGATGTGGCTAGATGTGGCACATCCGCAAAGCATCAACAAGGCAGAAATGAGGCATTTTGGAAATTGCATTCTAAATAACCGAGAGTCGTAAAAATCAATACAACACAAATACAAATACAATAATGCAACACCCTTTCTTTTCATCAGGCCTTTTTGAAAGAATTTAAATTCAGCTTGTACTTGCTTGCAAGTAGCATTTTTGTTGGAAATTAATTATTGAGATATTGATATATACAAACTTGAGAATAAAATATATATATATATATATATATCTCGTTAAGGTAAAATAGAGTGTTTGTTTTGGCGTTGAGCATTTGACATTGTCCTTACTTTTTAGGTATATTAAAATCCTCTCTGTTCATTTTACATTAATTTAGGGATTCAATGAATAAATATGATTAGAAGTCTTAACATTAGGTGTGATCTATCACTATTAATCACATCAATTCACAGCCCTAATGTTTCTGTTATTTTTTCTTAATTTATGCTCTATGTTGTCTGTGACTGTAGCTATCAACACTACTGTACCAAAGCACATTCCAAGTACATGCAATGTAGCCATCGAGTGAATATTGATTCTGATTCTGATTATTAAGCCACAACACAGCATTGGGTTCATTTATGAAACACAACCTGTTCTTTATACCACACATCGTATTCATATTAATAAGGCTTATTTAAATTTTGTGCACTGAGCGTCACCAAGGACAGTTCCTGGAACAAGGTCTGTGTATCTCTGGCAGAGTCCTGCTACTGTAGAACACAGTATCAGAGACAGGAACCATTGTATAAAGGAGCTGCATCCTCTGGGAATGTCCTACATCTCCTAGTCATTTTCCGCACTGATTTTACTTGATTGTGCCCAGATGATTGTCAGCATTGGGCTCTGCTGTTCTGACTCACAGATGGACAGATTCCATTGGTGGGGTAAAGTGACTCCATAGCTGTACATTGTGCGTGTGTATAGCTGCACACTCATGGGTGTGTGTGAGTGTGTGTGAATATGTGCTTTCATGGACACCTGTGCGCTAGCCTGCATCTGTGACCCTCGCTTCTGTGTGTGTGTGTCTGCATACAGTACCTGTGTGCAGAGAAGGACGGGGATTAAAAATCAGCCCAGGATTTTACATCCCCCTTCAACAATTTCCACTTTGGGGTGAATATTTTTCCATGCCACGTAGACGGAGTCCCGGCAGAAATTCTCCCAACTGTCCCTTGTCCCTGTGTGTGCAGGTATGAGTGGGTGTTAAGGCACAGTGAGGCAGGTGGGCGGACGGACAGATCTGGGGTGGGGACGCTGCGATCTGGGAGAGGTGCCCTTCCTGCTCAGGCATGATGTGACCTCAGAGAACGTGCCACTGCTCAGCTGGCATGACTAAGTGCATCGAACTCCACGCCTCGCAGGTCCCATCACAGCGGCACCTTGTCTCTCACTGTGTCACTGTCTACAGTCGACTCATTAACATATTAAGTTCTCTGATGGTATTCGATTTGCGTAGGGATGTGACTGATAGAGACAGAGTTCCCACACATCTAACCATCTTCCACTTCATCAGCGCATGGTTACGCCAAGCAGTCCATCCATACCAATCCATTTTCCGTCAGAGTGATGCAACTAAACTAGTCTGAAAGTTAGACTTGGATACCAGTCACATTAATGGAGGTACAAAACTAAGCCGCTACTCTGCTCACTCACTGCTCTTCATCCCACCAGACACGGAGGATAGCGCTCAGCTCTGCTGAGACGACTTGGACGGTGCTGCCACCTTCAGGACAAATGTGCAAAATGAAAATGGCATATTGAGTCGGTGGGTGCGTTTCCGCTTGGGCTGGCTCGCCATGTTCCGCACGAGGTTTTAATAAGCTGGCAGGCGCAGCTGCAGCCAGGCGACCGGTGACCAAATCGATCATGTCCGACTGCACTGCGGAATCGAACTCCACCGTATCACTGCTCAGCCCAGCTCAGTCTCTCCATGGCTACCTCACTGCAGTGACGGCCAAGGTGCTGTGGTGAACTATGTGGTCCCTTCTGTGACCTCAAGCCACATGCTTATCACTGGAAGCCACATAGCACAACCAGCCTGATTTACTGGACCTGTTATCAGCCTGGTTGGTTCTTGTTTGCAGACCCAAAATGGTTTCCTGGCCCTCTGCCTCTTCCAGCATTGGGGCCCTTGACATCCTGATCATCAGCCAGGTTCTATGGCAGTTGGTATATATACCTGGGTATAACAACACTGTAATTATCCATCTACCCATCCATCCATCCATCCATCCATCCCCTGTCTGTTTACCCAGTGATAGTTGGTGATGTAGACACATATCGACAAAAAAGTTAATTAGATATGCCCCTGCCTTGCTCCCCCCCAACCACAACCACTCGAGTCTTTGGGAACGAAGCCAAGCTGTCACATGACCTTGTCCACCTCACACATGACCTGCAGCTTGCCTCTACTGGCAAACTCACAGCTGCCTGATGACAGTTTGTCGATCGTGTGCAGCAAACAAGGAAAGCCAGGGGACAACATCGCCCCCATGAGCCTCATAAGGGTAATGCGGAAGAAATCAATACTAAACACTTATACCAACAACAGTAAAAGCAACTGTAACATACTAATAAGTGTGTAATAGGTATCCCCACAAAAACTGCCTGTGATTTATAAAACTGGGGACTAAAATTTTATGCAAACTGTCATCATTCACTAACTATTAACACCAATATCAGAGATCAGAAGAGGGGCCAATCAAGGCATTTTTCAAACTGATCGATGCCAGCTTCTACAGCCAGTTCCAAAGCCTGATCTATTTCATTTCCCGCATCCGCTTAATTGACGTCAGTTGCTCAGATCGTAAGGTTCCGTCACACGCTGCAGTGAGCCCAAGACACATGGCTTGAAACTACAAACTACTGAGATGTCGGTCATGTGGAAATTCTTTAAATTGGAAACTCAAAGAAGCCCAGCAGCTACCTGCAATGTTTGCACTGCCATCCTTTCCAGATAGGGTGAGCTACTTCTGGTTTTACAAACTGCTTTAAAACTGACATGCTCCTGTGCTTGGCTACATAGTTCAGTTATTCTTCTGCTTTAACTGGTTTGTTGCCTTGACTGGGAGACTCATCCTGCTGATTCATATTAACATTCGTTACACATGCATGATTATAGGGGACTGACCAATCAGCACGCAGCAAGAACTCAGAGCTTAAGTGAAATCCAGGTCCTTTAAATTGAAATAGTAGTTCACAAATCCTGTCCTAGTTCAGTGTCCTCCCTGACACGGATTATGTGGTCACCCTATTTCAAAAGTAGGCAGCAACAGAGCATTGTTTAATACAACAAACCTAATTAGGCCATGGGCGTAAATTAAGGGGGGGGTTGTAGCCACCCCAATAAATCAAAACCAGCTAATACAACCACCCCAGTAATCATGTTTCCCCCGTAATGGGTGGAGACCTCAGCCCCCCCAGTGTTCCAGCCAAAGTTACGCCCTTGAATTCGGCACTTGCAGAAACACAAGGAGAAATACTGCAACAATCACAAAGCTTACTCAGAACGTGGACTTAGTGTGTATGTGTCTTTAAATATTTATTTGAAGATTGAATAGGGATTCTGAATTGGCAGATATAAATACTGAACAGATCAGACCAGGGAACCAAAGTGGATTGGGACATTATATTTATGATTATGCCACACCCAAATCAATAATTATTTTATTATATTATTTATATTCTCAGAAAGGCTTTCTCAGACTTCATTTAGCTTTATTCTGTACAGTAACAGCTGTCTAAGGAATCACATAAGGGCCCTTTCACACTTCATTACAGGAGCAGGTTACCCACCACATTCTCATTTCTTCCATGCTGCCTTAATTCTCAGATGTGTGCATCTTGATGGATGGCAAAGACTTAGTCCTACAATAAATCAGCCAGCAATTTCACAGGTATTTAGCTAAATGTCCTGCTTGTAAAAAAAAAAAAGCCATACCTCAACGATTAGGGTTATCCAAAACTCAGTAAAATTTATAATGCATTATTTTCCCAGAGAGCATCACCAGCATTCTTTTGTACTATTTAATCTTGGTGATTCGGTCCACTGAGGCGTGCAATCAACGAAAAATAAAAATGAAATCTGCAGCATTTAAATCTGTAAACTAGAGCTGCCCAACTCGTAGTTTACAAAATGAACTGAGGGGTGACCCTCCCCCATTTGGCGAAATAATATCCCATTGCCACCCCAGTGAAATCATTGGGTCTTATGCGGCCAAACCATTGTTCAAGGTTTGGCTCCCCTCCTGCATCATCCAGTAGCAGGAAATGTTATCCGCTGTGGGGGTTCACCTTCCAGCAAACACCCCATCCCCCTCCTGCTATGCCGGGACGCATACCTGGGTGACCTTCTCGGTGACGTTGTGCGTGCGATCGATCAGCTTGCAGGGGGCGATGATGTCCTTGTCTCCGGCCGGCAGGGTGACGAAGGGGTCCGGCTTCAGATCCACGAAGTTAAGGGTGATGTGGGGGATGGTGCTGATGGTCCGGCAGCGAGTGAGGTCTGAGTCGGAGGTGGAGTTCAGCAGGTTGGTCTTGTGGTTTATCACACCTGAAACAGACCCAGCTGCCAGTGAAACATAGGGATACATGAACCTTGACACAGACAGAACTCTAGAACTCCATTCTACAAACCAATGGAGACTGAAAGCTTTGATACTGTGAAGTATTTATTCCCGGTATTTATTGTTATTGTTATTGTTATACTTTAGCATTGTACGATAATAGGCAGAAAGGTGTACACTTTCAGGGGCCCAGAAAAATGCTGTCGGCAAGTTTGTTAAAACAGTATGAAAGACCCGTTTCAGTTCCTAAAGACCCGTTTCAGTTTCTAAAGACCCGTTTCAGTTTCTAAACTAATGAGTAACTTTGGTTTGGGGGATGGCCGATTTGTAATAATTTTTCTGGGGCCCAGCCATGTCCCGCGACCCTGGCTGAGGTGTGACCCCCCCCCCCCCCCGCACCTGTGCTCCCGGCCCGGCTGCGCAGCTTGCGGTCCCAGTCGGCACGCATGCTCTCGATGTCGTCCACGGAGGAAGCCCGGCGCAGGCTGTACAGGCTGTCCCGCGAGCGCGCCAGGCTGCAGCTGGACAGCGACGCGTCCACGTGGCGACACTGCAAGCGGCTGGAGGAGCGGCAGAAGGAGAGGGGCGGGCGGAGAGACGCGGTGGCCGGCGGGGGCAGGGAGGGGGGCGGGAGGGGCTCACTGTCCAGCAGGTCCGAGGGTGGGGCTGGGGGGGGCTGACAACCGGGCTCCGGTAAGGACAGCAGCTCCCCCAGCGCCAGAGACTCATGTACCAGCTGCGAGGAGACGTCACAACTGCGCCCCGCTTCCGGGTCGTTCTGCAGAGACTGCTTGCTGGAGCTTTGGGAGTGAAGTAGGGGCAGATGCAGCCTGAACCGCCGCCGGCGAACTTCAGAGGATGGGGGACAGAAGAGGTGAGGAAAAAGAAAGAGAGGAGGTTGTGTTTGTCGTCCTGCCACTGAGATGCACATTAAAGACATGGAAAGTGCCGTGACTTTACTATACACCAAAAATACAAAGAAGTTTAACCTGTGGTGGGAAATTTTTAGTGTTTGGACTGAGAATAATAACTTATCAGCCTCCCCTGTGTCACTTATCCTCAGAATTCAATCTGCTGCCTCCAAACAAACTTTGACAGCTTTAAACTTATTATGTCCTTGAGCTTCACTTTGCCCTGGGAAGAATTTTAGTATTTTATTGGCTGTAGCAAAAACGCCTTCAGTCACACAACAGGCACAAAGGAGAAGTGAGGCGCTAAAACCCATAGTGAGCAGGATCATCAGTTGCTCTCAGTCGCTAACTGCTTTCGCCCTCGTCCTTTAGAATGGATCAGGCAGTGACTGACAGCACACAGTAATCAATCCCAGTTTGAGCTCCGTGTCTCGTATGACTAGAGAAAGAAGCCAGAGTCGATTGTAAGGCCGTGGGGCTGCGCCTGTGAACGGATGGTTACTGGTTCAAATCCCAGGGTCGAGCAGAGCGGTTTCATCATTAGGCCCTTGAGCAGGGTCCTTAAACCCCAATTGCTCCATGGACTGTACATTGATTTTGGATAAATGCATCAAATAAAATGTAGATGGGTGTAAATCAGGGCAGTGGGGGGGGGGGGGGTACCTGATGAGAACCAAGGGATGGGCAGCTTGTGGTTCAGTATTCGCGCAGGTGAGTTCAGGCACTTCCCCTCGGAGGCCACCTCGAAGTTCAGGATGAACATGATAACTGTACCGTCCTCGTTCTTCACTGGGACCACATCCACCAGGCATGGGAAGCACACGCCTGGACAGGGAGGCGAGAGGGAGAGAGGCAGCACCAACAATCACACACACGCAGTCCTGTGTGCAGAAACCCCTGCTGTTTGGAGTGGAAAATTAGCAAATGCTTGGCAAACTAAACAAGGCCCAATAGCTAAACTTCTCTGGACACATGGAGAGACTGTCTTACCCATAATGCAATCCTGGACTTCCTGATTTTCCCAAGTTCAATGTGTCCCTGGGTCAGTAAGGGAGGGGCTTGCATTTCACTTCTTGGTCTGTTTTTTTCTCATTTTCCAACTCAAGGCTTCTAGCCATCCAAGCCTGGAACTATGTGTGGCTCAGGAGGCTAAGCCTCTGTGCCTGTGATCGGGTTTCTGTGCATGTGATAGGATCTGTGTGCCTGTGATCGGGTTTCTGTGCATGTGATAGGATCTGTGTGCCTGTGATCGGGTT